CATTGCGAGCGAATTGTTCAAACTGTGCAATGAAAAATTTGCCCATATCGATCAAGTCTATCCATTCGTCTTCAAAGGCGAAACTCAGTTCAAATTGTCTGGCCAAGTCCTACGTCTTTCGCCACTTTGACGGTTTCTAGGTGGTGCAATCTTGCAACTTCCCAGTAACAGCTTCCTTACGCTCATGTGCAGAAACAGAGATGTGGTAAATGTCGATGGCGCATTAACGCGAATACCGCGTTACTACCGTTCGGCTTGGTAGCATATGTCACTCTTCATTTTTTTCGTACATGTTGGATGAGTAAAAACCTTTAAAACAAACGAATACTCATCGCAGCACTCAATAACCTCGTGACCATGGCGATTTGCGAAAACTGTCAAACTCCCCCAGGCCCTCGGGTGACTAAAGCCCCTCATACGCGCACTTCAGCAATCGACAACGATATCAAGTGAGAGCCACCAGTTCGGTCGCGTGACTCCTTCGATATTGCCGTTGTCCGCCGTCCGCCGTCGAGTCAACCACAAGGACGTGTCGAAGAAAATGTTTTCGGTCGAACATTATGCGTTTTATTTCTGTCACTAACAGACGTCCAACAAACGTAAATCGCCTTACAAAACTCATTACACCCATGTCACAAAGATGGGCGTTACGCAAAAACAGTTAAATTGGGAATCTCATTAAACTGAGCAATTATGGTGTTGTGTGGTGCGTTTTTATTGTGGCATGAAATCAAGCAGCGATGATGTCGGAACATTCATCACAACAGTGACGGATCGACCGACGAATGCCACCACCATTGCAAATCGATCATCCTGCGTTCCTTTGCGCCAGGGTTTCAGAAGCACTGCTGACCGATGATGCAAACAGTGCAAAACAGACCATACAGCGGAAAAGTTTCGGGTGCTTTGCTGCTATGCGGCTATATTTGCCACAAATATATTTACATTGCGAACGACAGGCAAATTAACAGACGACAGAAACAATCCTGGAAAAGAAACGAAACCAACTGTTTTTTTGGATTCGTCCATGCAAGGCCCGTATAGTTTGCACTCAAATCTAAAGGAACGGGATCTGGTCGAAAAACGATGAAAACTATAGTTGAATTTCCAGTTCCGGGAGTTTAAATAGCTTTATCAGTCGTTTGAAACAAAAAAGTTTTTGAGGAACCAATAGTTATTGCCGTATATGTTCCTTTTATGCGTCGAAAGAGTCTCTTTCAGCTATTTGTTTATC